AAAAAAAAGAAAAGAAAAAAGAAAAGAAAAAAAAAAAAAAAAAAAAGAAAAAAAAAAAAAAAAAGAAAAAAGAAAGAAAAAAAAAAGAAAAGAAAAAAGAAAAGAAAAAAGAAAAGAAAAAAGAAAAGAAAAAAGAAAAGAAAAAAAAAAAGAAAAAAAAGAAAAAAAAAAAAGAAAAAAAAAAAAAAAGAAAAAAAAAAAGAAAAAAGAAAAAGAAAAAAGGAAAAAAAAAAGGAAAGAAAAAAGGAAGAAAAAGGAAAAAAAAAAAGAAAAGAAAAAAGAAAAAAAAAAGAAAAAAAAAGAAAAAAAAAAAAAAAAAAAAGAAAGAAAAAGAAAAAAAGAAAAAGAAAAAAAAGAAAAAAAAAAGAAAAGAAAAAAAAAAAAAAAAAAAAAAAAAAGAGAAAGAAAAAGAAAAAAAAAAGAAAAAGAAAGAAAAAAAGAAAGAAAGAAAAAAAGAAAGAAAGAAAAAAAGAAAGAAAGAAAAAAAGAAAAAGAAAGAAAAAAGAAAGAAAGAAAAAGAAAGAAAAAAAGAAAAAGAAAGAAAAAAAAAAAAAGAAAGAAAAAAGAGAAAGAAAGAAAAAAAGAGAAAGAAAAAAAAGAGAAAGAAAAAGAAAGAAAGAAAAAAGAGAAAGAAAAAGAAAGAAAGAAAAAAGAGAAAGAAAAAGAAAGAAAGAAAAAAGAGAAAGAAAAAGAAAGAAAGAAAAAAGAGAAAGAAAAAGAAAGAAAGAAAAAAGAGAAAGAAAAAGAAAGAAAGAAAAAAGAAAAAGAAAGAAAGAGAAAGAAAGAAAAAAAAAGAAAGAAAGAAAAAAAGAGAAAGAAAGAAAAAAAGAGAAAGAAAAAAAAAAGAAAGAAAAAAAAAAAAGAAAGAAAAAAAAAAAGAAAGAAAAAAAAGAAAGAAAGAAAAAAAGAGAAAGAAAAAAGAAAAAAGAAAGAAAAAAAAAAGAGAAAGAAAGAAAAAAGAAAGAAAGAAAAAAAAAAAAAAAGAAAGAAAAAAAGAGAAAGAAAGAAAAAAAGAGAAAGAAAGAAAAAAAGAGAAAGAAAGAAAAAAAGAGAAAGAAAGAAAAAAAGAGAAAGAAAGAAAAAAAGAGAAAGAAAGAAAAAAAGAGAAAGAAAGAAAAAAGAGAAAGAAAGAAAAAAAGAAAAAAGAAAAGAGAAAAAAAGAAAAAAGAAAAGAAAAAAAAGAAAGAAAAAAAAAAAAAAGAAAAAAGAAAAAAAGAAAAAAAAAAGAAAGAAAAAAGAAAAAAAAAAAAGAAAGAAAAAGAAAGAAAGAAAAAGAAAGAAAGAAAAGAAAGAAAAAGAAAAGAAAAAAAAAGAAAGAAAAAAAAGAAAGAAAAAAAAGAAAGAAAAAAGAAAGAAAAAGAAAAGATGACAGTCAATTGTTGAAACCTCCTGATGAGTGTACTGAGCAATTACAAGAAGGTTATGAAACTCTGCAGTTGAGTTGCTCTATATAACATCAGCTAAGTGACAAATTTCATTTATATTGCAGAATTATATGATGGCTATGCTTTTTAAAAATTTAAATTGAATAGCATTGTTATTCCCGTTGGCTTACTTCAGATAAGTAGGTTAAGAATTAGTAGATTACAAGTAGAAACCTATAATTAATACTAGATTTTTTATTTTAATTTTTATAACAAATACCAGATTTTATGGTGGGAATTATTGAGTTATTAAAAGTTGTTAATTAAAAAACATAAAATTAACCATTCTACTTATTTTAATAAAATAAGTATATATATATATATATATTTGGTTAGCTCTGTCTCTGATATTGAGTGCTCTCTAATAAGTACCGAGCATATAAGATATAAATAATAATATATATATACAATATATTACATAAATATATGTTTATATTTATATAGACACACCTTTCACACACACACATATATATACATATATATATATATATATATATATATAAATAAACGAATATACTTACTTGGATATGTGTTTTCAGACTAGCTGGATTAGACAGATTGTCTTTGCCTAAAAAAAAAAAAAAATATCCAAATAAATATTGAAAAATTTAAAAAATAAACATTAACAAAAAAGGATATTGGACAATAAAAAAAAATCCCCACTAGCCAAGCTGTAATTTCAATATTTTAATTAAAATAAACTTAAAAAAAAAAAAAAAAAAACAAACAAAAAAAACGAAAAGATAGTTGTACAATAGTCACTAGAAAATAATTTTTTTTTCCAGTTCTCTTTATCATATCCTTATAGATTAAGCACTTCATATATGCATTAATTTTTTTTTTTTTTAAAATAAATATTGATGGATGGAGTTTAGTCAAATTTAAAAAGATAAAAGTAATACATGAAAAATGAAATCAAGATAACAAATTTAAAAAAAATATTTTTTTTACTTTTTATAAGACTACAAGTATATTTTTGGCTTTGATTAGGGGATCAGTTTATAATGAATTTATATAACAAACTAGACTACCTCCCAGGATTAACTTTTAGAAAATTTACTTTTTTGATATTCATGATCTGGAGTACTACCATAATATGAAATAAATGTTTTGGTTGCAGTGCCTACTGTAAAACTCCACAGAAACAATCTCATAGTCTTACTTTGATGCAATTATAAATCAAATGTCATTTTTTCTCTTATTTCTCCTTTAGTTTATAACCATTTACTTTAACTTAAAAAACCAAAAAAAACAAAACAAAACAAAACAAAACAAAACAAAAAAAACAAAACAAAACCAAAAAAAACAAAACAAAAACAAAACAAAAACAAAAAAAAACAAAACAAAACAAAAAAACAAAACAAAACAAAAAAACAAAAACAAAACAAAAAAACAAAAAAAAAAACAAAAAACAAAAAAAAAACAAAAACAAAAAAAAAACGAAATTTGTTTTTGTGTAAATCTTATAAGAATATCACAAGATCTGTTTAACACGGATTAATAATTTACACTAATTACATTGTTTGGACTATTGTTCTCATCTTTATTTTCATATCCCCAAGGACACATGGTTCAGTGGATAAAAGCATTGGTTGAAGTAATCCAGTGACTTTACCCAAAGAGTTGTGAGTTCAATACCTGGCCACAAATACTTGGAGAGTTAGTAAAAAGAAAATAACTGAAACTAAGATAACCAGAAAAGGCATGGCATGTGGAAGTAGAAAAATCTACCCTAGTGGAGGAAGTAAAGGGTTTGATTCAAAATTTCAATGTATATCACCTGAAGAAGGCCAGAGCATACAATGGCTGAAATCTGAATATGACAATAAAGATGAAGACAATAGTCCAAATAATGTAAATACCTCATCTCAAATATAGACAGATACAGAGTAATAAGCATTAAGTCAATATATTATTATTACATTTTGCTAATCTATTTGTTTTTCCTTATTTGAAAAGCATTGCTTTTTCTTATAAAACATGAAAATAGCTGACAAACCTGAGCGATAGTCTCCACTGTCTTGGGAACCATTATGACAAATAATCTCTTTATTTTGATGAGTAAATTTGGATAAATTATCACCAGACCAACGTTTCTCATTAGGATCATAAGATTTGATTGATGAAGTCATTTCACTGGAAATATTTTTATCCTTGTTTTTCTCAAAGCACACTGTTCCAATTTGACTAGGAGAAGTTCTAAAGAAAATAATGAAATAAAATTAAAAACATTTAGCTTTTGCATTTTTGTAGTAGTTGTAATAGTAATAATAATAAACAGTTATAAGAGAAAAAAAATATGAATATTTTGTAAATTTTGGCTATCTTTTTTTTTACATTAAGTGAAAAAAAAAAAACAAAAAAACAATTGTCTTGTTTATGAAGAAATGAAATTTAATTTAAAAATATAAATTTTACTGTTATTTAAATTTAATATACTATTAATGAATGTAATTTAAGTGCCATTTTAAAGAATAAATATTAACTTCAACTTATTACAGATATTTTAATTGTATATTAAAAGTCTTATAAGATACGTTTTTCTGATTAGCATTTAGAAAAAAAAAAAAAAAAAAAAAATCATATTGAATTGAAATCAAAGCAGTAAGCAGGCTACACCCAAGCAAAAATACAAAAAGCAAAGTATTTATTAATTTCAATAACCATTAAAACATTGCTTTCAATGATAAGAAGTCAACAATTTATAAATAACAGTTAATTAAGAGATACAATGCCAGTTAACTTATAAAGAATTATATTCTACATTTGTTTTCTAGATTTTTCTGATACACTATTCAAATAAATGAATTTGAACATGGCTCTCCGATTCCTCAATCCAAGCTGCTATCCATTACTCCACTATGCCTCCTATAATAGTTGTTACACTTAATGTATGAAATGCATATGTAACTGCAACAACTGTTATGAGACAGTACTCACAGTAATATTCTAGATTACTTGAATGGCTGATAAATATTTTAATGAAAGTATAATTACTTATATACTTATATATAATTACATAATAGTATAATAATAATAATAATAATAATAATAATAATAATAATAATTAGTATAATATACTTATTATAAGTGAATTACAGGAGGCACGGTGAATTAACAGATTGCGGTTTGGAATGAGGAATCGGAGAGTCGAGTTTGAATTCCAATACATATGGCGCTTCTATGACCCTGATGGATCATGGGATTCATGACTGATAAATACAATACAGAAATGTAAAATTTTGTAAAAATGCATTTCAGTTCTTGCCTATATATTTATAAAATACTTTTTTATGAAGTAAATTTAGGAAATGTGTATCATAAATATAAAATATAAGAAAAATAAAATCAAGAATAATTTTGTGTTTAGATTAAATGAGTGAATTATTTATCATTATTCTATAAGTTTGACTTTTTACTTTTCATAATTTTTCCAATCATTCAATCTAAACATCAAATTATTCCATATTTTTCTTATAGCTTATGATAAAAATGACTCGTATATAAAAGATGAAATATGTTTATTAGAAAGAATTAATATAAAATTAATATATGTTTTCTTCTATTGCATCTATTTTAAGAGGGAGGAGGGGGGGAGAGAGAAAAGGGGGGAGGGAGAGGAGAGAGAGAGAGGGGGGGGGAGAGAGAGAAGGGGGGAGGGGAGAGGAGAGGGGGAGGGGAGAGAGGGGGAGGGAGAGAGAGAGAGAGGGAGGGAGAGGAGAGGAGAGGGAGGAGAGAGAGAGGGGAGGAGAGAGAGAGGGGAGGGAGAGAGAGAGAGGGGAGGGAGAGAGAGAGGGGAGGGGAGAGAGAGAGAGGGAGGGGAGAGAGAGAGAGAGGGGAGGGGGAGAGAGAGAGAGAGAGGGAGGAGGGAGAGAGAGGGAGAGAGAGAGAGAGAGAGAGACGGAGAGGAGAGAGAGAGAGAGAGGGGAGAGGAGAGAGAGAGAGAGGGGAGGGGAGAGAGAGAGAAGGGGAGGAGAGAACGGAGGAGAGAGAGAGAGAGGAGAGAGAGAAGAGAGGAGAGGAGAGGAGAGAGAGAGAGAAGAGAACGGGAGGAGAGAGAGAACGGGAGAGGAGAGAGAGAGAACGGAGAGAGAGAGAAACGGAGAGGAGAGAGAGAGAGAAACGGAGAGGAGAGAGAGAGAGAAACGGAGAGGAGAGAGAGAGAGAAACGGAGAGGAGAGAGAAACGGAGAGGAGAGAGAAACGGAGAGGAGAGAGAAACGGAGAGGAGAGAGAAACGGAGAGGAGAGAGAGAGAGAGAAACGGAGAGGAGAGAGAGAGAGAGAAAGGAGGAGACGGGAGGAGAGAAACGGAGAGGAGAGAGAAACGGAGAGGAGAGAGAGAGGGAATATTCTTTAAATATATTCTTTTAAATTACATAAAAAAGTAATAATTCTTAAATCAAAGGGGTTCATATAGATTTAATAATTTCTTGAAAAATTTCAGTTTATATAGCACAAATTTTCAAAAGAAGCATCAGAATTTAATCTTTTTTAAATGTTAATTACAATATGATTCTTGGTAATTAAGATGATAAAAACAGAAATAAAATTATTATGGCCCTCCAAAAAATTGCAAATAATGATATGGAAAATTTCTAGACCAAATATTTAACTACATCTAAACATCAAATTATTTCATATTTTTCTTATAGCTTATGATAAAAATGACTCGTATATAAAAGATGAAACATGTTTATTAGAAAGAATTAATATAAAATTAATATATGTTCTTTCTTCTATTGCATCTATTGTAAAATTATTATAGCCCTCCAAAAAATTGCAAATAATATGGAAAATTTCTAGATCAAATATTTAACTACATCTTCATAAGATTAGTAGCTACAGTAATGATAGAAAAAAACTTTTCATACTTTTATGATACTGAATAGTATAGTCTAGTCACAGTTGAATTCTACTGCTAACTGCATATGGATAATACATTTTAATTAATAAAATCAACATGGAAACAATATTTTGTAGAATAAATAAAACATTTCAGGCATCATTTGCAGCTTTTAATATATGCATATCAGCTAAGCTCACAGCTACAAAAACAACTGATTTACAAAGAAGACACACACACATATATATATAAACATTTTTTTTTCCGAGTTTTTCTTTATACATTATGGAAAGAGGGCAAAGTACCAGTCTGCATTTAGGCATAGGAACAAAATTATTCATAGCATAGCAAGACTGATTTTTAGATACAACTGAACACCAACAACATCCTTACTAGCTTACAGAGATCAAAGAAATTATAGTAATTGTCATTACTTAACTTTATCTCTAATTTTTAATTGGCATGCATATAGTTATTATATGTAAATAAGAGTTAAAAGCTCTTGTTTCTTTTTTTGATGACAATTACATAAAATTATATATTTTTTCTATCTATATAGGTAGAACAAAAAACTCAGGTACCTTGAAGTTTCAAATAGGCTGGCAGAGTTATTCTTTTTTGGAGAATAATCTACCCAAGTTATCCTTATTCCTATCACCCCTTTTATTAAATATTCAACAAATTTCTTTTCAACTTTTTGCTAGCATTCTAAGACAAAAAAAAAATTAATTTAAATATTTAATAAAAAGGGGTAATTGAAATACGAATACTCTGAATTAATTTGTCTCCAAATGACTTTTTAAAAATAATAAACATTACCAAAGAGGGAAGGTAGTTAAAATAAAAGCTGTGACATGGGGAAAAACTGTCTTTTTGACACTTCATTTTTTTTGTGGGCACAAAGGTCTATGTTTACCAGAAAATTAATGTTGAAGATTACAAAATACAAATATACATTTTGACATGATTTTTTTTTAGTACACTAGTTTTTCATCCAAATATATTTAAATAAAAGTAACTATGACTGATGTTAAAAATAACATGCTAATGAAAAGATGGCAGAATTACGGAAGAAGGCCTTTTCTGTTTTTAGTTGTGCTTTTTAAAACAATTTGACAAAATTTTAAGTTGTTTCTTGTTATTACTGAGTTTACAAGAAACAAGGCCACACATAGAGGTTCAGAATAATGAAAGTATTAAAACATGACAAATGTTAACGATAATTGTTTTATTATTAATATTGCGTACAATAAATAATAGAAGAATAACTATAAATTATATCGTTTTAAAATTGAATAATTGTGAACTTTATTGTAAAAAAATATGTTCTGAATTTGTTTTTAATGATGGTATGTGGATAATAAAATGATTACTACAAATATATCTAATATTTGTCATTTACAGTGGACGCTATTAATATAAGGTATATTGATGAATTTAAATGAAATACTTTGTTAATTCTATTACATTTAATACTTTTTGCCAAAGTGTTTCAAAAAGCATTTGGTGATTAGTTACAAGCAAAACCTTCAACTCCTTTATTTTTGGCACCTCTAACTCTGAAGCCTCTTTATATAATTAAGTGATTATGGCCTACAATTCTCATAAACCCTATGCATACTCTCCTAACTCAAGTAGGCCTATATCATTATAACTGGTTTATATCAAAGGTATTGTGGCTTTTATATCATACCTATTCATTTTTCATTTATTTTCAGTATTTTCTAACAAAATTAGAGACAAAATCTTTGAAAAGTATAGAATAAATAACAATAAAAATAAAATGCTAGGATGTAAAACATATATCTTTGCAAATAATAAATAAAAACAAAAATAAAACTACTTTATGACAGAAGTTGAAATATATTTTTACAGGATGCCAAAGATATAACAATTCTATAACGTAAGATTTTTTTTTTTTTTACATATATAGTTTTGCAAATAAAAAATAACTACAAAGAAATAAAATGACTTTAAAAAAGTTGAGATGAATTTCTTTAAAGGAAATAGTAAATATACAGTAGAGGAAGAAATAATAAAGAAAATTCTATAATGTAGGACTTTTTATACAAAGTGTAAATTCAACTGGAGTCAGAGTTGGTATAGTTTTACAGACTCAGACACCAGTGACTCCTTAATTCTGGCTCCATGACTCAGACTACACAGACCTGGTTATAAGTAATCTAGTGTGGAAATCGATTTTGGTGTTCAGTTTGCCAAGAATGATGGGCAAAGGAAAAAAAGCGGCAATATAAAAATATAAAAAAAAATTGCAGTATGTAAAAATACCTAGAAATCTTTTTGCTTTGTAGAGTTAAAGATAATGATCTTTTGATTACAGAAGTTAACAGAGGAGTATTAGCTGGTGTAGCAAATGATGGAACAGAATACCCATTAGAATTTGGGCAGACAGCACTGACCAGAGACTGGCAGGTTCTTAGGCTTGAAAACCCCCTAAATAATTACCAACCAAGAAAAAGAATAACCAAATAATTAAAAAAAAAAAAATAATATGAATATATATAATAAGAGAAATGACAAGAATAAGCACTTATGTGGACATGTTTCCTTCCTAAAGAAGTTTTATTTTTGTTAAAGTTCCTCAAGGAACAAGACGTGTTGGCATAAAAGGTTTTTATCTTTTTCATTATTGCCTCTCTCTCTCACACACACACAAATAAAAGAAACCTAATTCTTTTGTAACTAGAGATGTGACCTGATGAACCAGGAAAAATATATTTTCTGGGGAAATAAATTATAGTCATGCAAAATTAAGGTTGTCTATTTCTTAATTATTTAATTAATATTTACTCTGGTTTTACACTGAGCTCTCTGGATTACATCCTCTTTAGAATTATCCACACAGATTACCAAACCATTCCTTAATATTATATAATATATATATATATATATATATATATATATGGTATCAAATGACAATTGGAAAAATCATACATTTTGCCGATGCGTTTCATCTTCCGACTTTTTCAAGGCAAAAAATGAAATCGAAATGTTTTTGCTGTTATAGTTACATTAAAATTAAAAATTAAAAAAGATAGACGCTTGTGTCTAAGCCTTTTTCTGGTTAATGTAAATTACCTTTATAGTAATGGATTCATCTGGGAATTTAACTATATAATATATATATATATATATATATATATATATATATATATATATATATAAATATAAGTACCTCCACGAGATCGCTAAAAAAGAGCATAGCATGATGAAAAAAATTATTTAAACTGATAAAAACAAAATTTTATCGTCTAAATGTTTGTTATTATTAAGAGGAAAGGTCAAAGTATTTTTGGGGTATTTTTTTCCATTTTTAATTTTCCTAGCACGTCCCAAATTTTCGTTAAAATCTAGTTTTTTTTGAGTCAGCAAAACTGACCATTTTTTTCCATTTTAAAAAAACTGAAATCTCACTTTGAAATTTTTAAATATCAATTATCATTTTTCAAAACTTATTTTAAGAAAATCAGAAATTATAATGTTTATTTAAAATATTTTGAACCAAACTTAGCTTTTTGTGCCAAAAAAAATGTAATTTGAAAATAAAACAAAGCAGGTCATAAACTTTCGCGTCTCTTGACATGTGACTTAATGATATATTTTTTAATTCCATGAGGTTAATTTGTTCTACGGAAGGAGAAAAAGTGAAATAATTTACATTTACGTGAACAAATTATTTACCCCTGTTATTTTTAACGAAAACTTTCAGCGGGTCTAATTTTTTTTTTTTTTGTACTTAGCTTTCACCTTTACGTTTATGATGCTTTATGGGAAATATATTGTAAAGAAATTAAAATAAAACTGTTAAGAGTGACATTAAATTTATATTTCTTAAGAAAGGTATCTAATTAATTTATAGGTACCTTTCTTATGAAATTTTATCAGAATTCCAACATAAAATACTATAATTTTATGTACATTTATTACATTCTACTGTTATTTGTATTTGCATTCATTTTATCATTAATTTTGATATTTCATTTATGGAAAAATGTCGTAACTGAGATTAATATAAAAAATAAGATCATATAAATTTCATAAGATGATACTGATACTTGTAGGTACCCTTCTCAGTTGAAATTGAAAAAATCAAATTAACTCTCCATAAGTGTTTCAAAAAGTAAAAGGCCTTAACAGCGGAGAACAATGCTTAACTCAAATAACGCAACTTAATTATATTCTGGTTGGTCTTCCGTTTTTTTATAATTACAGCTCGATTATAAGCACAAAATTACATTTCTTAATTACTGGGGATCTTCTGATTAGTCAAAATGATACAATTTACAAAAGCTAAAAAAGATCTATCTCATAAGGACACTTATGAAAGCGATTTTTTTTAACTAATTTTATAATATTTTAACAACTTAAATGTAAAAATCTATTATAATTAATGAAATAACAAATAATTGTATTAAAAATTCATTTTTTCATCGAAAAATTTTTTTGCTTTCAGAAAATATTGTCCATATTCATAAAAACAACTAAAAGCAAATAAAAGCATTTGAAATTAAATAATATCTTTGTTTTATTGAGTTTTTGTATGTTACAATTCAGAGCTGATTTTCAGGTACTGCGATCCAATTAAAAAAAAAAAAAAAAAAACATGATTTGCATTCCTCAAAGCCCTGTGCTTTTAATTATTGTAATCACTAAAAACCGATGCGATCGAATTTCTAGCGTTTTCATAAAATTAGTTGGGGGGGGGGTAATAAATATTTTAAAAAATATTTCTACCATGACTTTCATAAAAAAACATATTTATAATAATTTCGATCATCTGTGAATAGTTCCTGAAAGTTTCATTAACATCCGATAATTATTTCTATTTTTGCACGATTTTTCAAATTAATGTGTGTCATACCAAAAAACGTACTAAAATTGTCTATGTTATTTACTAGTTCGCTGATACAAATAGAAAAAGGTTTTTTTAATCAAAATTTAGAATGTTCTAAAAAGAAGGAAAAATTTTAAAAAATAATTAAAAAAAACTTTGGTCTTTCCTCTTAATAATAACATAAGCATTTAGACAATAAAATTTAGTTTTCGCAAGGTTGGCGTCTTTTTTCATCAAGCTATGCTCTTTTTTAGCGATTTCGTGGAGGTACCTAATATATATATATATATATATATATAATATATATATATATATATATATATATATATATAATATATATATATATATAATATATATATAATATAATATATATATAATATAATATATATAATATAATATAATATATATATATATATATATATATATATATAATATAAATATAATATAATATATAATATATATATATATAATAATATATAATATAATATAATATAATATAATATAATATATATATATATATATATATATATATATATATATATATATATATATATCTCCAGGTAAGATAAGAACGGATAGAGCACAATTCCAACGTTTGTAACATTTAATTTAAAGGAGGGTTCAATAGAAAATAGAGTAAAAAAATATTTTAGACTATTAAATCAAAAACATGTAAAAAATTGCCATACAATTGCAGTCATGTTCTGATGCATATCAATATGCCTCCTCAGGTGATTGTAAATTTATTAGAAAGAGTAATTTACAATCAGTTGAGGAGACACATTGATATGTACTGAAACACGATTGCAATTGTGCAGTGATTTCTGATGTTTTTGATTTAATATTCTAAAATAGATAATCTACATTTTACATGTACATGCATACATACATACATACATACATACATATTTTTATAACATGTAAAAAGAATCAATTTTTAAAAATCTTTGATGACTTTGTATAATTTTTGATTATTTGGTATTTTTTTTTATCTGTAAGATGTGTAATCTATTTGATAAAATATGTAAAAATACAAATAGATGTGAATCTCATCATTTAAAGATAAAATATAATTGTCAATATTTAACTTTCATGCTGAAAAAAGAGAAAAGAAAAAAAAAATGGTGTGTGAAAAGGATGCTTATTCCTTTGACACCACTATTACTAAATACACTTTTGATTTCCTCAGTAATGTCTATTGTTTTAAATAGTGATCATTAGAATTTTAATAAAACCCAAACATATGAAAGTGGATTTATACATTCTTCACTTTTGAGAAATACCAATAAAGATGTTAAATACTATTAGATTGAATAAAATTCTTGTTTTTGTAGTTAGATCACATATTTCGATAATTTTGTAATTTTTTTAAGAAATTTTTTAATAAAATTTTTTTTCAAGTTTATGTCTTTATAAAATGGTAAATAATAAAATCTTTATAAAAAATAAATAAATATTGCATTGCACTTGGTTCACATATTTTATAATCTTGTAAAACATTTTTCTGAGGGAGTCAAAAGTGTATACATTAATAGTGACATCGAGGGAGTAACTGTGCTTTTGACACTGTTTTTTGTGAGCAAGAAGCCTAAATGTTGCCAGATAATTTTATTTGTATCAATAATATTGGATACTGAACAGAAGGTGATTGATAGGTCAAAACATAAAAAACAGATAAGATATTTTTCTTTATTAAATAAACAATGTATATATGTGTGTGTGTATATATATATATATATATATATATATATATATATATATATATATATATATATATATCTTAAGTTTTCTTTTACTTTTATGGTAAAAATCTCTGTTGTAATGTCCATATAACCACTTTGATGATAGCTCATGCGAGCTGAAAGCTTAGATTGAGGTACAGTATAATAAAAAAATAAATATGTTTGAATAATGATCTGCTGCCCTAATATTAATTATATATATATATATATATATATATATATGCAAATGTAAATGGATATAAATCAAACAGAATGAAAAAATTTGGAAAAAAACAAGCAAAAATCCTTAAATGCAATTATATATACGCTATACGCTAGTCAGTATAGAGTTCAGCGTATATATAATTGCATTTAAGGATTTTTGTTTGTTTTTTCCAAATTTTCTTCATATATATATATATATATATATATATATATATATATACACACACACACCTCAGGGCGTCCATGATTTACATCAGGATATCTGTTCCTACAGTGCAATGCAACCTGATTTTTTTATGTAGGTTGGAACTCACCTACATAAGTATCCACAAGTCTGTCTTATGCTTGGGAGCCATAATGAAGGGAGAAAAGTTTAACCCCCAAATAACACAAACGGTAGATAGTTAATGTAGTACAATCCAACATGGCATACAGCTGGTGAAGAAACAATGCTGTTTTCCTCATATGGGAGGTGGTGCCATAACTATGAAAGGCTTTATGTCAGGTCATATATAAATAGTTATTTCCCTTGTATCAGACATTTTTAATACATTCAAATTTAAAGATGTTTCAATTTTTTGTGCATTTTTATTTAGATTTAATTACATAAGTTCATATAATGCTAACACGGATTAATGCCTAACAAAACATGTAGACTAGAAAATGACTAAAGTTTAACGTGTTTAAAAGTGAGATGTTTTTAGACATGTTCAATATTAAAAAAAAAAGCAAAAATAGAAAAAAATTTTCAGAAAAATTATGTATTAACTAAATACAAATTTTATGCAGAAAATGTTTTAGTTTTCTTCAAATTAACTGGTCAATAATTAATATTTTCCTTTTTTTTTTACTCTAATCTTTGAAATTTATAGAGAAATATAAATTCAACCTAATAAGTTCAAGATAGAATATGTTCAAACAAATAAAAAAACATTGGTAGTGATATAAATTGAAAGATGTAATTGATGTGAATTTTTTGTTTTTAAACACATGAAAAATGAGAAGAGAAAAATAAATGAAATGGTTAAAATCATTTAAAATTTTTTTTATTATAAAAATTCATGAAAAGTTATATATTAAGTTTCTGAAGAATAAAAATTTATTAAATCAAAGAAATGAAATAAGTTTTTTGTAGATATTGTTTCATATTTTCCTTAAAAAATAATTAATTATAAAAATAATTTGTATAATTATATACCTATTATTTGATCAAAAATAAAAATACGTAATTAAATTCTAATATTTTAATTTTACAATACCATATATCGTTTATTAGTATAAATATAATATAATATTTTAGACCTTTATAAATAAAAACATAAATAATGACTTAATCATATTTGAAAACCCCTTTAAGAAAATTTTGATGCATCTTACAAAGTAATAAAAAAATAAATAAAAATGTCATTTGTATTTCTAGTGTATCCTAAATAAACCAGACTGTGATAACACGTTTGCATAAAAGTCAGTATCAACAGACAGAAATTTCAAACCCGCACCTAACCGTAACAGATTTTCACTTTGCCGCCTAAAATTAGACTTGTATCTTGATTCATAAAAAAAAAACAAAACAAAAAAAAAACTCTCTTAATAAAAATTTTGAATTCCAATTCCCCCACCAACTTAAAGTATATAATACTATTTAGCTTATAAACAGAGTAAATCAATTTTTTAAAAGTTATTCAGCATCACTTGAAAATGAAACTGAAATGCAAAGTTTAATTTAAGATTTAGGTTTTGAAACATGGTAATTTCTGTATCACTATAAATACATATTTTTAAATAATTATAATAAAAATTATTATACAATTACAACTGTCCTCTTTAATCCAGCACTCTTTTGAAAGATTCATCATCAGTTCATTGGGCTACAAGGGCAGCAACACACATTTATGTTAATATCAATGTTTTTTGTTGATTAAGATAAACAA